GTCTTCTTTGTTGGAGAATGCGTATGGAATGCCGGGGCTGTTTTACATATGAGGAATAAACATTATACGCAGTGTTCTAGCTATACGCTATATGTGGTACTATTATTATTTTAACATTTAACACCCCCCCCCCCTCCCGATTGCTACGTTCCTGTACTTGGCTTTTTATATACAGGTTGATTAAAATATCAAATGCATAAAGTTTGTGTAAATTATTAATGAATTTATTATTTTACAAAATTATCAAAGTCAAACAATGAAACGTTACAATGTATCTAATTATTCACGTGTATCGCGATAAGCACACGAGCGCTGAATGGACACGCTGTCAATTTCACTTGTACTTCTCCTCTACATTGGTTGCATTCTCTGCAAAGATAATTCAAATTAAATAATCATACTGTTTTTGTTTACTTGGCAACCTACAAGTTACAATTTAAATTCTTTTTTTGTCTAAATTCCAATTGAAACAAAGCATGGAAACTATTCATCTACCGAAAATTCTGCTTTATTCGTCGGGTTTTTCATCGATAACTGATAGTACATGCGATGCCAATTTGTAAGACTCTTATTTATTTTGTAGAGAACGAGCAATGTTTTCATTAATGTATGAAAATGCTTCATTTCAAGATTCCCGAAAACCTCTCACATTTCACTCTCTAATCTAAAGAAAAAATATTAAATTATAAATCGTGGAAATAAAATAGATTATGCTTAAAGTATATTTTTATTTAATCTTTAAATGCGGTACATATGGATAACACAAAGGACCCGCACAATGACTGTTATGAAATTATTATTGTAAATTTACCCTTTAAATATGGAAAATCTGGAATTATAAGACAAGAATAATTAATTATTGTCGTCAGTCTAATAATACAAGAAAACTAAAATAGTCATACTTTTTGTTCCATACAATGTTTAATCAAATGAGCGCATTATTTTTTATCTGCTGCCAAAAATCTCCAATAGATTCAGAGATGGGAATAGAATATTCTTTACTCCTTAACATCATAAAAAAATTGTTTTGTTTATTATGAAAAGTTGTTTTATTAATTTGTTTTTAATAATTTCAGACGATTTTCGTGTGAAAGGAAAAGGAGGTAAACAATGAGGAAATGCCTATACTTCTATCCAAGAGAAGGTTTGCTTACTTTGTGAATTTAAACACTTCAATCAGTTGTATCAAAAAATGAAAATGTTTTCTTTTAATTTATAAAGCATGCACAATATAGTTTTAAAAGAGAACAAAACTGTGCACTGTATATATTTTCGTAGAAACCATTTAAACCACGGTTAAATATTCGTTATTGTCATCATGTAGTCTTTCACGTCCTCTTTCAGGAGGAACAGGGCACTGATAACCATCAGAGTCAGTGTTTCCATCAATTTCTCTACTAGGCTGCACACATCTAGGCAAACGAAATGATGATGTCTGATCCTTCTGCAGAGGATACATGTCTAATTGTGAATTCAATGAATCTTCCTCATCGTTTTCAATGGTTTCGTACGGATTTGCCTCAGTTTGTTGACCTTCGTTTTCGGACATTGTGCTTGACTCAGGGACAGAGATTTGAATTAATTTTTTATCATATGCAAGTGCTTGTATTGGTTCGTAATATACAGGAACATTTTGATTCCTTAAAATGTCATTTGAAATAAGTCCTCTTCTTTTCCGATATTTGTTTATTGCATAAATAGCAGCTACCGTTAAAAATACAATTAATCCTATCGCGAGAATTAGGTAAACCGGATCATTGATAAGTAATTGATCAGTTAAATTGCTATGGAATCGCTTATTACTGAAAATTTCCGAGGAGGCAGTTGGCTGTGAAGAAGAATTGTAAGATTTGAAAATTGTTATATTCATAAATGACGTGGTTGGGGTGAATCTTTGATTCGGATTACTGGTAGAATGTATGAAGTTTGTAATACTCTGTGTGCCTCTGTTAACCTGAGAAGAAGTAGATTGAAATGATGTGTGCCTAACGGTTGTCATATTTTGAGCCACTGTAGTTGTTTCTCCAGTCGTGTTCTTGTAATATGCTGAAAAAGATATATAAATAGTAAAAAAAGTTTTACCAATCTACTTTTTTTCTCTTTTTAACGTCTGGTTGTGTTTTTCTATATATATAAATAATTTTTTTTTCTCATACTTGATAATAAGCCTTATTGAGATAAATATGTTTCAATTATGCATTTCTACAAATAGAACATATGTGAAGGAAGTAATTGTAATCGTATTATAAGGTTTTTCCACCTTTCCGTGGAAAGACCTATTGAAATTGTTCTGTTTATTATTATTAGGTCTTTCCACCTTTCCGTGGAAAGACCTATTGGTATTCTTCTGTTTCTTATTAGGTCTTTCCACCTTTCTGTGGAAAGACCTATTGATTTTCTTCTGTTTCTTTTTTTTATTATTAGGTCTTTCCAGCTTTCTCTGGAAAGACCTATTGATATTCTTCTGTTTCTTTTTTTCCTTTTTCTTTATTATTTTTCCGCCGTGTGATTTTTTGTTTCAAGATTTATCGAAAAGATTTTCAGTCGATAGAAATGTACTCCGTAAAAGATTTTTGCAGTTGACCCTGCGTATATGAACTTTGACCCCTTTCGGAGTTAATTTTGTTCGCAATGAAAGCTTGTTATCGCTACTCCTCCGAAACCATAAACCGCAGAGATTCCAAACCTTTATTAATGTTTACGACTGATTTAGTAGACTCTCCAATCAAACATTGCGAAAGGATTCATAAACTCCTATAATGAATTATTGCCCCTGAATGTTTGCGATGTTTACAAATATCAAGAATTTTTCTAAAACGACAAGGCGTAGAGACATGGGGCCAAATGCAAAAGATTTCTTGACCTTTGACCTTAAAATCTAGGTCAAGGTCAAAGGTCAAGGTCATTCAAAATAGGTAAAATTCAGCATTTTTTATAGCTCTTCTGTTCTTTACCAAATTCTAAACTTCTTTGCATCTTTAGTATGTACTCTTAAAACCATTTCAGAGATTCCATGCTTGTCCCCTAAGATTGAACCCTCTAAAAGTTAGTGCCCCTTTCAGTGTAAACCCTTGTTATCGCTACTCCTCCGAAACCGTGAACCGTAGAGGTACGAAACCTTCTACAATGTCTGCGACTAATTTAGTACACTTCTCATTCTATTAGTGCGAAAGAATTCGTAAACATTTTAAGTAGTTATTGCCCCTGGCAGTTTATGATGTTTATGAAGAACTAAAAACTTCTTAACGACAAGTAGTAAGGACATGGGCCCAACTGCATGAGATCTTTTGACCTTTGACCTTGAATATTAGGTCAAGGTCAAAGGTCAAGGTCATTGGGAAAGTATCAAAATTGCTTATTTACGGGCTTTCGGTTAAAATGACCTTGACCTTTGACCTTGATATTTGACCTTGACCTTTGACCTTTTATCAAAAGTTTAAAAAGATATATTCATTATCTTTACCTAGATTCAGCTTCAAGTGTAAAACTCAAGTTTATAAGGCTAAGTGCTTTTTTTTTGGATGACCTTGACCTTTGACCTTGATAAATGACCTGACCTTTGATCCAAAGGTCACAATCAAGCTTAATTATGTGGAGGTATTTATAACTGTCATGTCAACAAACACTTATATATTACAACCGCCCCCCCCCCCCCCCATTTCCCAAAAAAAAAAAAATCAATAGTGGCATAGAAAATTTTTCTACAACTCAAAAGACATCACAGATCAAGATAAAATTCAGTTTAGCATGTAGAAGACACCTCAAAGAAACTGCCCTGAGAGTTTTACAGTGAGTCTCTTAAGTGCAATTAAATTCTAGTGAATATCGGCAAATTCTACATTTTTTTTTCTGTCTGAAATAGAATTGTTGATAAGTATGAAAATTAAATAAAGTTTGTATTGGCTATTTCTTCGATTGTTGTTAATATCACTTGATTCTCCTGCTCTAATACGATATTTCGATACCAAATATTCTTGCTTTCTTTAGTATGTGGAATTTATGTCAATTTTATTTAGATTTAATATTAATGGAATGAATCTAGAAAACGGCGATTTTTCCTGTCAAATAAATTTCCACGCTTTCAATGGCACCGTTTTTTTTTTCCCTGAGATGCATGTTTCAAGTTTAATTTATGCTGGTAACTATGAATTCAATTCAAATAGAAATGATTATTAAATCTTATCTATGAATTGACCATATCTGTCAAAACAAACGAGGCCTTTTTCAAATACATAAATTGCTACGCAACCTCAAATGCATGTATCCCCGTTAATACCAATATCATAATTGTAATCGGACCCTATCCCTTACATTTTAACTCGAAAACAATCTCATTCAAACTCACATATACTCCCAGGAGCTTGTCAGAAGTGTCTCAAGTGGAACTCTTTGACTGGTCAATGAATCAAGGAAATTCCGTTAACTTTAACTCGACAATAATACAACACAATTTCAACGGAACCCGTGGCGTAGTGGTTAGAGCGCTCGCCTGCTAATCGGAGGGTCGAGGGATCGAATCCTGCTGGAGCACCTTATTTTTTTTTTATTTTTTTTTTAATTTCTTTTTTGCGTTTTTCTTCGTTTTTTCAACCCAAATGACACGGAAACACTTAAAAAGCTGGAAAGACCTCTTATTGTTCTGTGAACAATAAGTCTCCTAGTTATTTTTTATTATTTTTCCGCCGTGTGATTTTGAGTTTCAAGATTTATCGAAAAGATTTTTAGTTCATTAGAATGTACTTCATAAAAGATTTTCGCAGTTGACCCTGCGTATATGAACTTTGATCCTTTTCGGAGTTATTACCCCTTTCGCAAGAAAGCTTGTTATCGCTACTCCTCCGAAAACATAAACCGTAGAGAAATGAAACCTTCACTATTGTCTTTGACTAATTTAGTAGACACTCCAATGATTCATTACGAAAGTATTCATTGACCCCTTCAGTGAGTTATTGCCCCTGAAACTTTTTGAATTTTACAAATAATGAAAAATTTTCAAAACAAGAAGTTGTAGAGACATGGGACCAACTGCATAAGATTTATTGACCTTTGACCTTAAAATTCATGTAAAGGTCAAAGGTCAAGGTCATTCCAAAAATGAGAAAATTAGCTCTTTTTGTATCTCTTTTGTCTTTCAACATATACTTAATGTCTATCCATCAGTGATATGTACTTTTAAAACTGTTTCAAAGATTTCATTCTTGTCCCCTAAGATTAAACCTTTTAAAAGTTATTGCCCCTTGTGCGAAAAACCTTGTTATCGCTACTCCTCCGAAACTGTAGACCCTATAGACACCAAACCTTCACTAATGTCTTAAGGGTCTTTAGACCTAACTTCATTGTATAAGTGCAAAAGAATCTGATGACCCCTTAAATGAGTTATTGCCCTTTAACTTCTTTGTACTTACTATTAAACCTTATAACTTGAAAACTATAAGTGGTAGAAGCATGGGGTCAATTGCATTGTGATCCTTGACCTTTGACCTTGAATGTTTTTTCAAGGTCAAAGGTCAAGGTCATTTTTTTTTTTTAATTTTCATTTTTTCTATGCTTTAGGAGAGTTTTGGTTTCTTTTTCATGGAATTTAATTTTTAAGGAGTCAGATATAAAACAGAGTTCAAAGAAGGTGGAAAGACCTCTTATTGTTCTGTGAACAATAAGTCTCCTAGTTATTCTTCTTATTTTTCCGCCGTGTGATTTTGAGTTTCAAGATATATCGAAGAGATTTATAGTCCATAAGAATGTACTCCAAAAAAGATTATTGCAGTTGACCCTGCGTAAATGAACCTTGACCGCTTTCGAAGTTATTGCCCCTTTCACAAGAAATGCTTTTTATCGCTACATCTCTAAAACCATAAGCCGTAGAGATCTGAAACCTTCATTAAAGTCTTTGACTAATTGAGAGGACTCTTCATCTATTCAGTGCGAAAGTATTTGGTGACCCCTTCAATGAGTTATTGCCCCTGAAACTTTTTGAATTTTACAAATAATTAAAATTTTTTAAAACGACAAGTCGTAGAGACATGGGACTAACTGCATAAGATTCATTGACCTTTGACCTTAAAATTTATGTAAAGGTCAAAGGTCAAGGTCATTCCAAAAATGAAAAATTTACCTCTTTTTATATCTCTTTTGTCTTTCAACATTTACATAATGTCTATGCATCATTTATATGTACTCATAAAACTGTTTCAAAGATTTCATTCTTGTCCCTTGATATTATCCCCTTTAAAAGTTATTGCCCCTTGTGCTAAAAACCTTGTTATCGCTACTCCTCCGAAACCGTAAACCGTAGAGACACCAAACCTTCACTAATGTCTTAAGGGTCTTTAGGCCTAACTTCATTGTATAAGTGCAAAAGAATCTGATGACCCCTTATATAACTTATTTCCCTTTAATTTCGTTGTACTTACTATCAAACCTTATTACTTGAAAACTATAAGACGTATAAGCATGGAGTCAATTGCATTTTGACTCTTGACCTTTGACCTTGAAAATATTTCAAGGTCAAAGTTCAAGGTCATTTTTTTTTAAATTTTTCATTTTTCTATGCTTTCAGAGAGTTTTGGTTTCTTTTTAATGGAATTTAATTTTTAGGAGGCAGATATAAAAGAAATTTGAAATTCAAAGAAGGTGGAAAGACCTCTTATTGTTCTGTGAACAATAAGTCTCCTAGTTATTTTTATTATTTTTCCGCCGAATGGTTTTTTGTTTCACAAGTTATTGAAGAGATTTATAGTTCATAAGAATGTACTCCTTAAATGATTTTTTTGTTTGACCCTGCATATATGAACTTCGACCCCTTTCGGAGTTATCACCCCTTTCGCAAAAATGTTTTGCTACTCCTCCGAAACCGTAAATCGTAGAGGAATGAAATCTTCACCAACGTCTTCGACTAATTAAGAAAAGCTTAAATCCGTCATTGCAAAAGTATTCATGTCCCCTTCAATGAGTTATTGCCCCTGAAACTTTTTGAATTTTACAAATAATTAAAAATTTTCAAAACGAGAAGTCGTAGAGACATGGGACCAACTGCATAAGATTCATTGACCTTTGACCTTAAAATTCTTGTAAAGGTCAAAGGTCAAGGTCATTCCAAAAATGAGAAATTTAGCTCTTTTTGTATCTCTTTTGTCTTTCAACATATACTTAATGTCTATGCATCATTACTATGTACTTTTAAAACTACTTCAAAGATTTCATTCTTGTCCCCTAATATTAACCCTTTTAAGAGTTATTGCCCCTTGTGCGAAAAACCTATTTTTCGCTACTGCTCCGAAGATATAGACCGTAGAGTCACCAAATCTTCTCAAATGTCTTAAGGGTCTATACGCCTAACTTCACTGTATAAGTGCAAAAGGATCTCATGACCCTTATATGAGTTATTGCCCTTGAAGTTCTTTGAACTTACTATTAAACCTTATAACTTGAAAACTACAAGTCATAGAAGCATGAGGTCAATTGCATTATGACCGTTGACCTTTGACCTTGAATATTTTTTCAAGGTCAAAGGTCAAGGTCATTCGAATTTTTTCTTCAATTTTATTTTTTCTATGCTTTAAGACAATTCTGGTTTCTTTTTCATGGAATATAATTTTAAGGAGTCAGATATAAAACAAATTTAAAATTCAAAGAAGTTGGAAAGACCTCTTATTGTTCTGTGAACAATAAGTCTTCTAGTTACTTGAAATATGTGTGCATCCGGTTTTCCTGTCACAGAACTGTTCTTCACATAAACAAAATAACTGGCAATTGACACCATAACTTGGATATCTGCATTCATAAACGCAGTTTACACCAAAATAACCTGGTTGACATTCTGAAACTCATAAATGGAAAAAAATGCGTCTGCTTTTTAACTTTATAATTGTGGGCTGTTTTTCAAACTCTGTTTAATAAGAGAAGTGTATAAATCAATACCAGAATGAAAATATTTAAAGCAATATGAGCTGCATTTTGAAAATTTTATTCAGCTATTAAAAGGTGTTTTGTAATAATTTTGTATGTTAGTTAAACCTCTAATGATCAATTTGATTAAAAAATACAGAAGAAAGACTTCTATATACAATTCAAAATACAGTTTTATATAAGAAATCATTATTGAACAGGAGAACAGTTATGTAATTTTGATTCAATCAATGCTTATAAATAGTTCTTCCATCACAAATATGAGCACCAGAAGCTAATCAACGTTTTCCGGTCATTGGTATTGTTATTTACAAGTTTGAAACAAATATAAATCTTACATCAACGATGCAGCTCACATTGCTTTAAATATCTTCTTGCAAGGTTTGTGGCGTTTACCTTTCGAACAGCCCGAGACCACGTGACAGACAGATTGATCACATTCGCAGACATGTTGACATCCCTTGCCATGACTTGGGTACCTGCAAGTGTGTGAGCAATGTTCTCCTTCGAACCCAGGGAGGCATTCTAAAAGGAAAAAAATTCAATTGTCTACCATAAAATTGATTTTGTAAAATAGATTTTAAAGTTATTTTGACAAAAATGATAGTATAATCAAATGAGTCACAATTTTGAATATTAATAGAAACAAACTACCAACCATTTTTTTTAAATGATGCCAGGATTGAAACAGAAATACGTCTTTTATTTCAAACTGTAGCTGATAAAAATTGTTTAAGCCAGGCAATATTTCAAGCATTATGAAAGAAAATTCCAACCTTTACATTTTCCACTCTGTGCATATCTACAAAAAGATATATGAATTATTGCTAATGATATTGAATACCTTTATAGTTGAGGCAAAATATCTTACGTTGTGAGACAAAAGGCAGAAAGCAAATCTTACCCAATGCAGTTCTTAATGGAACAAATCACAATCTTCAACGTAACAAAAAAAATGTACAAGAATAGGGACATCTGCGACTGCTTCATTTTTGTTGAGCAATTATCAAACATCGATTTCCTGTGTATCTATTGAGTTATCTTTTTTTTAATAGAAAAAGGAGTGCCTGACACAAATTTTTCAATTGCTTTAATCAAGCAGGAAGTCCATTCTCTTGATAGTTTAAGTTTATGAGTACAATAGTCATGGTATTTATAATTCATTTTAAATCATAGTACAATTACACTGTAGAATATTAATATACATGTATCGTCTTGTTATCTTTTAATCTTCCTATCGTCAATGTTGGATGTATAATCAACAGCAATATAAAAATATATAAAAGTCATTTTGATTATTTTCAGAAAATATCTTACAGACTGCATAAAGATATTATATCTGATATTGAATTATACATCTAAAAATAAATTAAACTATGCATAATTAAACATTTATTTTCTTTTTTAATTTCATCTGAAATATCAAACTACAATTTACGCAATTGTACTGAATTTGCATATATCAACAAGCACTTAGTATTATTATGTCATTCGTTTTGTTAAGATCAAATAATCGTTTGTGTGTTTATTTGTTGTTTAACATCTCCAGAGAAAATTTTACTTTGTTGGAGATGCAAATACTTGCCGATGGAAATGTGCAATTGTTTACCGATGCCTGGCATTCAGAACCATTGAGTTTAGTGAGAGGTCGTTTTCGTGCTATGCTGCGACATGGGATGCTATCATCCTTAGGACTGGTCTCTACGTCCGATAACTTGATTCAAACCCGCAACGCAAGAATTAGCTTCTTACTCCACTACTCTAGTAAGACTTCTACCTCTGCGCTTTGCGGGTGAGTGTGTATCTTAATGATTTATACTACATATTTTTGTAATCCGACAGAAAACGTTCAGCATGTCCAGTAGTGTCACTAGTTCTTCTTTTATATTCCTAAAGATGTAATCATGTGATATTGATATTAACTTTGTTTATTGATACTATTGGTTGGTTACCGCATAATCGACGATTAATTTCATAATGGTTCCGTGATTTAGCGAAATCTTAAGCATAAATGATTTTGAATAATCAAATTGTATTGGTTAAATACATACACAATGCACTGTCGAGTATTCGCACCGGTATATTCATTTCCTTCCTTTATCTTAATTTCGATAATATCGATCAGTATGATAAAGGCCGTCATAAAATATTTGTACAAGAGGAGTTTTTTTTTCAAAATGAGAACTAAATAAGTGAATTAAACTCAAGGGTATTTTGTGATTTATACAATGATTGGACTAGATTTTGGTAGACTAAGTATTTTGTTTTCTTTAATGTCTCATGACTGTCCTTTGCTTCATCATCTTTCGTCGGTTGCCTCAAGTAGTACTCTGTATTTATTATATTATAAATCAAGGGACATTTTAAGCCTAGCTTTATTCTTCATGATTCATTAAGATATAACGAAAATGATACAAGAAATCTGATTTTTTTTGTAAATGTACATGTTACATAGGTTGTTCATTGACTTTGACAAAGAGAGACATTTGAATCAGAAAGGAAGTTATCAACTAAACCAAACTCTGATAAAACGTCAAATCCATTACAGAAAATCAAAGTAACAAAGTTTTTGATAATCTAAAGTCTGTACAACTGTAATTAAAGATTCTTGCATGCATGCTGATTGTCTCTTTCGATGCCTTTTAGATAAGGACGATGAATGTGTCAACTGCTTTACTTAAAGGCATAAATTGGAAATATTTTAGGTACTGTTTTCATGTTCAAAAGCCTCGTCCCCTTTTCCTTACTACACACACTTTCCTAATGCGCTTGTTAGAATCTTCGCTATATAACCATTTAAAGAATGTATAAGTACTTTGTACATGTTCCTGAACACGTTTTAACACATGATGTCATTTCAAAGCGTCATAAAAATGTTTGGATTCTCGGTCCTCATTTTTGTTCCCTCCCATTTTTGAGATTTTAAGAGTGTCAACATAATCATTTTCAGCATTGCCTTCCGGCTTCTTGTCTTTGTCATCACAAGTTTCCTTTCCGTCCAGATCCTCATACAAATTTTCTTTCATGCCCTCATAATCACAAGTTATTCTTTTTAGCTCGACTTTTATATTTGGCATGTCATTGTCTTCTCTTCTATTTCTTAGACAGGAGTGCTTGGCCCTTTTCCAAGAAAACATTAAACCGGTGGCAAAAAGTATCAAAGAAAGAGCAATCACAGTACCAATGAGGATCGGCGTTGTTTGTGATTCTGACTTTGATTCCTTTGGTTTTTCAGATTGAATCGTGTTTTTAGCAGGATGTGTACCTTGGTTTGGAATTGATTGAAGATCCTCCCCAGGTTTCAAATCAATCATCTCTCTGGCTGGATACATACGATTTTCTACAACTGCATTAAGACCATTTTGTATGGGAAGGTGGGCTACAAAAAAATAATAATAAAAGAGCTTGATTAAGGAATTTTCCATGTGTCTGTGACTGAAAATTTGACCTAGAGAATATGAAATTCTACGAAAACTGTTACAATGCTTATTTTGACCGTAGATAGATTAATATTTGATAGTTGAATATGTATTAAAAACGCAAAATTCTACTGTACACTCTATAGTTCCCACCTTTCCCCTCCTTGCATCCTGTAGAAATGTCACAATATTCCTCTGAACAGTTACACACCTTCTGGCATGATAAACCAAAACCTGGGTATCTACACGGAATGGAGCAATTGAAACCTATATAACCTAATGGACATTCTAAAATGCAAGATAAATCTAGATTAATAAAGTAATTCATATTTTGAGTACAGTTTTCAGTCAAGAATTTAATGTATTTAAAAATAAAGCATTACAGAATAAATTAAGATTTATAAAGACATGTATAAATGAAAAGAAAGAAAACGATTAAAAGCTGTACACTTTTGCACAGTCTTTGATTGTGCATACCTTTGCAATCTTTCTCTTTGTTCCTGCAAAAAAACCCATACTAATAGTATGTTATCTTTTTAGAAGATGTTACAAAGAGAAAAAAAAATAATAATTAAACGAAGCATTTCTTAATACGTAGAGAATTGGTATTTCTTAAAACTCCAAACTAGTAAACTATATAAATAAAATCAATTTTCATTACGTACGGTTGGCATCGACTGCTGACTGTATAAATATTACACAAAACAATGAAATAAAAAAGACAAAGTTTTGTTAGATACATATTAGATTTGAACGCTAATCTTCATGAGTTAATTTAAAAAGCATCGGCATAAATATGTAAATCAATTTAACTTTTATATAGTTCGGTAAATTAAATTAGACCACGTGACGTTTATTAAAAAGGTTCTAGAAATTTACTTCCAAATAAGGGCGTGCTGAGGTTCAATTAGACAACAGCTGATTCATAAGAATTCAATCATATAACCGACTCTAAAACTATCTCATGAAAGTTCAAAATAATAAAATTTGATTGAAAAAGAGAACATATTATTTCCTCATTGATGTCAGAGCCGATGACACCAAAAGTAATATTACCTCTCGTAACTATTGAGTACGAATTACAAGTATTCCTTTACATAAATTTTAGAATCAGGGCTCTTGAACTCTCTGCCATTTAAACTTAGAGCACGTGCTTCACACCCTTGTTTAAAAAGGAACTTAAAATACACCTGTCCTTATCGAGCTATCTTTAAAAATAAACGTGGTTTTACAGTAAGATAGTGCCATTATGATGAATTCTAATCACATATAAATGTCTGTATTTTATTCATAATCTGTTTAGAATATTTTTAAATTGTTTGTCTGTATGTTTGATCGTTGTTCCCACTTGAGAATTTTTAAATGTGGAGACGCAACCACTATAGCTTGCGGATTAGAGCTGCAAGTATTTTCTTATACTTTGCACTCAGGGCAAATGAAGTGGTAGAATTCTTTTTCATGCCAGCACCTTTTGCGAGTAGGAACCTCGGTTTATAACTCTCTTTAGAAGGACGTTCCATGGAATTCAAACGTAAGGATTAACTCCTGGTTCCGCTCTTAGACTAATCACTGCGCATCGTGGTCTATTATATTTTAATTGTAAAGCGATTTAGAAACTTCAAATTGACAGCGTGCTATATACCTTTATTTTTCATTAGCAATCACATAGTTCCACATAAATATCTTTTCAGGTTTAAGATATACTGTTAAGAAAATTAACAACGTGGGTAAAGCTGTAAATTTCCATTAAGGGGATGTTATACCCTTTGTAGATAAAAATATTATTTCATAATTAACAGTACATATTATCGCAGCAAAACATCATTTCAAGCCAGCGTTATAAGTATATCTTCCTTAGTGTGTTTTAGGGCTGTTCTCTACCTCTGAAGGAGCCAGCCTCGACATACTACCCAACACACATTTCTTTTGCTCTCAGCAAAAAAAATTGTGTCAGTGATATCTTTGAGCCCTAGGACATATATTTTATACAAGAAAACGTAATTAAGGGTTCTTTTTTTGCTAATTCATTCTTTCGCAAACTATCTTTTATTTTCTAAACTTTGAAAAATGTATTCATTTCATATGCCTTTGCCAGTGATAAGAAACATCATATTTTCTTCGAGACAGAGGTTATCTTGGTCTCCACGAAGTTCAATATTTTTGATTTTGGGATTATGATTGGTATTAACATGTACATGTAGCTATAACTGTAAAGGAAGTAATTGTATTTAATAGCTATAAAAAAATTAAAATATCAATCATCTTATTTTTAATTTACTCTCTTATATGTATAATTTAACTCAGAAAACATTTCGGGCATAAATTGCGTCACGCCTCCTTTGTAAATCCCTCACAGCGTAGCCTGAGTTCCAAAGAGGAAGTGTTTATCTTTATTTAAAAGAAGTGTTCATGTGGAATGGAATAAAAGCTAAACCCATTTCCCATCCATGCTGTAGGTTCATATATATTCAAAATTTCTTGCAGAAACAGTTAGTAAAAGACTTATCATTATCATTTTATATAAAACTAACGCATGGATGGAGAAGAACATGAAGTTGACAATGATGATTCATGAATCAAAATAACAAACAAATAAGCGGAAGAAAATTTCTGTTACAGGCACGTGGGTCAAATTTTTGGAAACTATTTTTTGTTTCATGAAGATATTATCAAAGTGTTTCTACAGTAAACTTCAATATAAGGCACATATTATTGGTGTCCTTTTCTGACAACTAAATTAACTAAGAACCACTCAATCTTGTATTTTAAATTACATGTAACTCTGTGTTCAAAATACATTTGATCTATAAATTTACAACCATACATTACCAATCAAAATATGACATATTTTGCAGTGAAAAAATCTCGTCTATTTATCAATCAATGAAATGTTTTGAACATAAAATTCTTAATCTTTTGTACAAATAGTAAGCTATATGTAGATAAAAGTTGTTTAATAAATAAAAGGGCAAATTTAGCTGTTCTGAAGTGTAGAATATGCATGAACTGAATCCCCCATTATCTCACTTCCAAAAGATGCAAATGTAAACATATACACATTATCTCCATCCCTTGTGTCTGTATTATCGAAAACGTTTCCAAGAACATCGGGTGTCTTTTTCTCCGAATTTCTCTCTCCGCAATTTCCAATTTGCTTGTCAGTTGTATGCAAGTCCTCAATGAAAGGTTGTCCATCTGCCTTTGTTAGAATTTGTGCGGGTAAACCTGAAGGACATTTGACATCCATATTGTGCATATCATTTTCCACAAGGACAGCAGCTGCAGCATTTGTTTGACTTGGAGTATTTTTTGTTCTTTAGATGGAGAATTAGAATTCGTGTTAAAATCAAAAATAAAAATATCAGAAATGTTATCGCTATTATTATTATTGTTATTATGGATATTGATCCCATGGCACTTATTCCAGAGTAAGATGACAATTTCTTCACCTTTAAATTGGTTGCATTCTCTGCAAAGAAAATTTAAATTAAATGATCATAATGTTTATATTTACTGGTTAAATAAGTGAGTAATAGAATAAATATATCTTTTTAATATATTCAATCTAAAATGAAAATGAACTGAATTTTAAAAAATCGGATAGTCAATAATAAAAATTTTGTATTTCATGATATAGTCAGTGAAAATATGACAAAAAATGATATAAATACATGATTATGAAAAATCAATAACAAAAACAAATTAAAATTTAAAAGAATTAAATTAAATTAAATCGAGCTATAATCATCTGACAATTTTACCAAAAGACATGTTAAAACAGCCACTCCGAAAGTCGCAATATTCTGCTGTACAGTTGCATCCTTCCTGACACTGTTTCCCAAACCCAGGGTAACGACACTTCCTTGAACAATTTGGACCCATATATCCAGGCGGACACTCTAAAAGGTGTGAGAAAATGAAAACTTATAGAAGCAATTATATAATTAACAGTTATACAGTGAAACCTGTCTAATTCGACATGCACTGGGAGACAAATTTTGTGTCGGAATAGACAGGGCGTCGGATTGCACAGTGTAAAAACATGGAAAATAGTAAAATGGTAAAGGAACTTAACGTCGGAATCCACAGTGTGTTGGATTTTTCAGGTGTTAGATTAGACAGTTTTCATTGTACAACAATATTTCTTCAATTTACGTTTATTTTTTTTTTTTATTGTTTTTATTGTTAATAACTATCTGCTTCATTAAATACCTTTACATTCCTTCGAATCCTCAACGTAAAAATACCCGAAACATGTGCAATTTCCTTTTTCATTGACACTATTGAAATAAGAATAAATAAAATAAATAAGTGATTATATTCGAAAGAAGCCAAAAAATGGAATTAGTCTTCTTTTATGCAGAACATATTAAATTCTGTTTGAATACTTACTTTTGACATGCATTGCTGAACAATAAATGAACAATTAAAAACTCAAAAGAGTGTATTGATACGATATTCATTGTTTAATCACCGAACAATGTTTGTCTCGAAAAAAAATAAGCCCGATAATTGAATTAATTTAGCAAATAGTCACGCAGACCTGTGAAAAGGATGCTAAACGGAACATTGAAAGGAAACAGAAATTATGATCCAAAATCAAAAATAGCAAACTGAAAAATAATTGCAGCTAATGACCTAGTTTTTACACTGCTGAGTTAGTTTCCCAAAAACGAGTAAACTGATTTTTTTTCTTTTTATGCATCACAATAACCAACTGCATTTGTCAAGTATCCATTCACAGATTATCAGATTATGAATTCTCATAATCTGAGTATATATTCTTTAAAACTGATTTTTTTTCTGTTTATTTTTTCCGTACATTTGCTCATTTATTGGCATTTTCATACTCATTAGTTCGTAAAAATTATCTTGAAGACAAGATATATTGTTATTTCCAAAAAGACAATTACTGTAGAAAACTGCTAAAAAAAATTTCGCAACTCGTATTACAGTTAAGAATGTTTTCTTTACAAGAAGCCCAATGTTGACCATTTCTTCTGCCTCTCAGTCAGTCTTATTTTTTGTTGTGAGGTCATCTCATCCATTGGCTTAACCATACAACAAGTGTTCACAACATTTGGCAAAACTTCAACTGTTGTGTATATCTTCTCGTTGGTGAATAAATTTGATTAAACAAATTAAGCCTCCTATTTCACATTTAATTTTTGTTTGATCAGGCACATATTTCGAGTTTTCAAAATTAAAATACTTACATTACCATTCTTTAAAATATATTAAGTGATACTTTTCCCTTATCCAAATCTCCATCCATACCTCTGTAAAAATAAAATGATACTTTCACAGAATCTTTTTGACAGTGTGCCATTAAAAATTCCTATTTTTTGGTAAGACGCTTGATTCGCGTGTCACAATGTAAAATATAAACTTTGCATTTCTAATCTTTTTGTGAGACCGGTGTTTAATGTACCGACTTGGATCAATATTAGCACAATTAATAATATCATTATACATATACATTATTATTATATAATTCTAATAAATGATATAATTGTAAGAAAGTAGAGAGCTGGAAATATACTTTTTCTCTGGAAACTTGACCAGAAGGTCTACAATAGACTCGTTCCTATCTCATTTAATAAAATTTATGCTACATACTATTTTGCTAAAAAAAATGATCAACCATAATGAGATTATTCCAAACATACTACAAACTCATTGTAATTTTTTTCTTCCGATTCATTCTTTTTGGAAACATACGTTGCATAAGAACACGATTTGTTAAAAAAATAATGGATATTTTACAATATGTTAAACATTGTTGGAATTAAAAATTGTAGTTTTGTCTTGACCGTGATAAAAATTAAATAAATAGCTCAACAAATTCTGGTCATATCTTGTAGCCACACATCGAAAATTACTTATGTGCTGTATAATATTTCATTTTATTACTTTTCACTCATTTTGAGAAGTCACCATGTACCATAAAAGTATTCAAATTTGGTGTTTAGTTACGATTATAGGTATGACTGTATTTAAGTAAGGAGCGAAATTTATCACATAAACGCCTGTCGTGACAAATGGCCTCGGTTTTTTTTTAAATCTCATCCAAAGAAACAACTTTCACTTCAAACCACCGAGTGCATGCGTGAAGAACACCCTTGCTACTTTTTTTTAATCAAGTAATGTCAATCGCTGCTGAGATTAGAACACTGTTTTAAAAAGAGAAATCCCATCTTTTTTTAGTAATACATGTATGAGTATTGTCTGCATTTTTAAAAACAAAAAATAAATTCTTTTTACTACAAAAATAAAATAATCAACAAGAATTATTTCTTATGTTTTATTTTCATTTAAATATACATGTATGTACATTACAGGTTTTAAAGAGACTTTTGACTTCGTTCCTTTTGAAGAATAATTAACTGGACGCTTGTATTCAAGGCATGCATATGGGGTGTGTGGATTAACAATGCTCCACTGAAAATTTCAATCGATCTGAAAAATGATCTAATCTTCTGTTCGGTTATATGTTCCGTCGCTCCCTATGACAATAGCATTCTAAAACATAAAATAAGAAAAGAAAAGTAAGTAGCATTAATGAATATTAATAAATTTCAAATGTATATGTGCATGGATATGGCTTTACGAAATTTTACCTGGGAAATGTAGATCAATGTCTTATAAATGAAGAAAATATTTCATCAATCCAATCAATTCAATACCGACCCACCCCCTCCGCTAAAAAAGTAGAAATATTTTCTTCTATTCTCATCTCACAAATGCATGTTTACAGACCTCATAATAGTCATACATATAAACACATAAATTATATCTGAATTCATGAATTACTACATTCCTATGAACATGATGACTTGATAGTACTCGTCATAGAATATTTTCTATCTGATTGAAGAATCTTGAACTCTAACAGTAACGGTTTTGATTTCATGACCTGTTTCTTTTTACTTTTATCATTCTAGTTTCATGAAGAATGTATTTTACCTGAGTGGATACATGTATATAATGTGTCTTCCATGAACAATGTCTGAAGGATATAAATTTACCTCAATTAAATGAACAGTACTGTTTTCCAACTGTATTTTAGGTGTAAGTGGTAACGGCATTCCTTTTCTCCCGAGCTCTATAATATTCAAATAGAACATTTTCAAAATCATTTTAGGTTTAACCTACCATATTAACAAAGTAAAAGGCTTAAAATTTATTTCAATAATTATAAAATTATAATCTACCGTTAAGGGCTGGTTCTACCGTTGTCACCACTGCACTCATTAGTATAAAATTCACCGTCTGCATCTAAAGTATTAAAATGAAAATCTAACAAAGGATATGATTTGATAAAATCTGAATTTCATCTTATTAGGAATTTGAAGCAGTTTCAAGGATATCGGATCCTCAGCCATGAAGGATAACTCTAAAAATTAATATTTAATTTTAAATGCATCAAAATAAAGCTTGAAAATGTTTTTTTTTTTCATGCAACAATTTTCATTTCATTCATCTTTATAAGATTCAAGGTTTTAAGAAGTCTTGCAAAAGGTCTTATTAAAGTTGACATTTGTACCCTATAAAAGGAAAAAATACAGTTTTAGAGAAATAAGATTTTCTTGAACTCAGCCTAAGATACCAATGCTTATTAGCATGATATGAATTTAAGAAGTGATTTGTGCACGTGGTTTCTTGCAATGATAGCATAATCCTTTTACACTATGTATTATACAATACATGACGGAAATAGAAGAAAAGCACATACCCAATAAGTATAAAAATCATGACAGTTCCCCTGAATGCCTGTATATCTATCTTTTTTTAACCAAAAATTTATTGAAATACATAGCAACTCAACAAAGAACAACGTATTATGACGTCACAATGAAGATAATCACATAAAAGTTTTGATACACAAAAATGTAGTTAATCACATAAACGAGTTCAAATGTACACATTAACAAAAATGTAGTTCGAATGACGCTGCCTGCATTATCTAAATATTGCAACAAAACAACATATGGGCTTATTAACAAAATTGAAACTATAAACCTCTTACTTAGCAACGTATGGCAACGTATCACTATATTTTTATATCATATCATGTAAAAACAATATACAGCTTTTATGCTAAGCAAAGAAAATCTAAATCTGAATTTTGTTTTCCGGCAAAGCTACACAGGTTTCACCATCGCATCAATAATTATACTTTATATAAATGGAATAAGAGTACGCACTTGTAGATTTCAATATATTCAAAAGAATGCAGAAAATCGGGATAAGAACAGGAACGATCGCATGTTGTTTTTTTTTCAAGTTTAATTTGATCTTTTTAAAACAAGTTTTGTGATGCAGGATTTGGAAATTTTTCTGAATGATTTCTGTTCAGAATAACTTTGTAGTAGACAATGTATTTTCACCATATTTCTATTTCCTGTTTTATATTGCATGTGAAAGCCAGAAGAATAGGCTTTTTAAAGAGCAATATAACAAACATTATCACCAACTTTTCCTGATTATCAACTTACATCAAAGCCATGGACAGTTGTCTCCACATTTTTTAGAAATGGCCTGTAAAAACAAAAAGACAACAAAAAATATACATTTATGTAATATAAGTTTGAGGTCAAGTTTATAATTAGTGTTATATGCTTAACTTTTTGCAGAAAGCTTTATGTAGTGGAAATTTCAGTTTGGTGCAAGTTTCAAGTCTGAAAAATTTCGATATGTTTTTGCTCGTGATAAATAGGACTGCAAAAAAGCACGAGGGGCATTGTTAAAGCTTTTATCAAATATTCATTTATATTAAGATTCAATCATTTCAAGTTTTGTTTTTCCTGACTGGTCTAAAATAAATATATGAATTGCTCAGTGAGGTATATGCGAATGTCAGTGTAAGATATTGAAAAAAAAAAACAATTTTTAACGAAATCATTGACTGTGTTTTAGGGTAAATTGCCTTTTACCGCACTTTTAACAAAACTGTATCCACCGACCCAAAAGTTTCAGGCAAGCAGTCCTGTTGTCAAATCCAACAAAGCGCATGTTGCCTTTGTATTTCCTATAAATGAGTTTCGCTACTCAATTGTATTAATTATGTTATTTCTTTACAAAGCTCCTAATCAGTTTGTTAGTATCTGTTAAATAAACACTTACTCAAACGCAACGATTTTCCCCTGAAAAGTAGAATTGGTCATAAAGACTCTGATTCGCATCTCAGCATTCTGCAAAAGAATCAGTTTTAATTACAAAAAAACACGTACTGGATATAGACCATATATTTACATGAAAATTTCAAAAAATTATATTCTGTCATTTTCTGAGACTATCGAATGCTCATCAGTTTAAGTAATGGAAGTGGGAGTTTTGAAAATAATCTACCTATTGTTTCTAAAACGAAATATTTGCACTTTTATCTATTTTTGAAACCTGTCCTGGATACATATAACTTACTCCATCAAGTTTAGCAATCAGTGTAGAAATGTTGCTTTCTGGATTCCGGACGTATGCAAACATGACTGTATAGAATTTTATCACCGCCAAATTCTTCTCAAACGTCACATTTGGCGTCTCCAAACTGTAGATGTCCAAGTCCATATATTGATTCGGATATTTCTCTTCGAGCTTTCAGAAGAAAACATTTATCAAATAAGTATAAAGTGAGGGTTAATGATTCTCTGAAAAGAGCAATAAAGTAAATACATGTAACAAACCTCTGGTACAAGACGTCCGACACAAACTTTCTCTGTAAATAAGTAAATAACAAACCTCTGGTGCAAGACGCCCGACACAAACTTTCTCTGTAAATAAGTAAATAACAAACCTCTGGTACAAGACGCCCGACACAATTTTTCTCTGTAAATAGGTAAATAACAAACCTCTGGTGCAAGACGCCCGTCACAAACTTTCTCTGTAAATAAGTAAATAACAAACCTCTGGTGCGAGACGCCCGACACAAACTTTACTCTGTAAATAAGTAAATAACAAACCTCTGGTACGAGACGCCTGACACAAACTTTACTCTGTAAATAAGTAAATAACAAACCTCTGGTACAAGACGCCCGACACAAACTTTCTCTGCGCAAGAAGTATTTAGTCCCGGATTGTCGGGGGTAAGCTGAAAAAAGTAAACTAATAGCATGATTTTTTTTTTGTAAAAGTAGAAAAAATACTGTACCGTGTTAATGAGCATTAAAATCTTTTTACCACATTGACTCCAAGATATAAAACTCTCGATCTTTATTAAACAACATATGTAGCTTGTGTTTTCCTTAACATTTTATATTTAAATTATAAGCTTTCAAAACTTTTATTCTGTATCTTTTATTCAGTATCCAAAATGTATTGACTTGTTGGAATAAAGCGTTTGAAAAAATAGTTATTAGTGTTTTTTTTTAAAACATAGTGTTAGTGATCAATATGAGGCTATATTTGATGCAAACCAATTACGGTGAACCATAATTATATTATTCTAAAACATTAACCATTTCAGGGGTGATCTTATAGTGGAGTATTCCATGTGTTTGAACTCCTTTGAATAAAGATCGGACCGCCTCTTTAGAAATCCAGATGTACACCATTTTTGTTGATTCATTATGTAGGGTATAACTAACTTTTTCAGTGTTATTTAAACTGTCCATAGACGGAAACCATAGTACGTCACCCTATAATGGAAAAGAGCTGTATTTATTTGGAATGTTATAAGTTCAAGTGATTTTTGTTTTACTATTTGAATTATTAAACCAAGGAGTTCTTATTCACCTATGCCACGTTCCATATTCTCTTCATTCTTATAAAAATAGACTAATGATAAAAAGCTAATTAAAATTTACTTCAATATCACTATGATCTTTCCATTTAATTTTAAACTTACCTGACCTTGATAATATTGAGAGAGATGTGTAAGGTTTTTTTTAAAACAGTTTAAATTGGGGAAACACAACATGTATTTGTTGCATAAACTTAAGAGGTCTTAAAAATGTTCCAATGATTATGTTTCAATTTTATGAACCAATGTACCAAGATATCAATTTATTTTTCTATTGTTCATGATTTAAGAAATTTACCGTCTGACATACATCTGACATTTCATCTTATTTCAGAAAGCACTTCTGTCATTTATTAACTTGATACTTGTGACATATTCCTATTAAATTATGTGATATGAGGGCAAAATTAAGCAAAAAAAAAACCTGATTACAAGTATCATTTCATCTTTAACTGTTAATGCGCAGTACATCTAAAGGAGGTCAAAACAGGTATGCCCAGTATGCAGAGAATACTAGTCCTTTTTGGCCCCTGATCCCACCTCTCATGTGTAAGATGTCAGAGTTTGCTTTGTTTTTGGTTTGTATTGTTTGCATTGACTTCTGAACTCTATGGCATTACGTTATCTCTATGCATTTCAAAGGTATATCCAAAAAATTGACGAATGTTGAGACACTTTCATCTTACCTTATGATATGTATTTAGAAATGAGGATTCATATTTTGGTTGATGCTGCATCAGAAGATTGGCGATAAATGGAGTTTGTCCTATCCTTGGAGTCACTATAATTATAAAGAAGAGAACTCTTCGTATTCAATCTATGTGTGATAGATATTTTTTATCACATAAAAGCCAAACTTATGATTCAACTTTATCAATCTAAATTTGAAATCGGTTGATATTCAGTTAAAATAAAATTTACAAACCAATGTACCTTCCACCAATAATTAAAATGTATTCCCAATATTACGTTTTCATGTACAAAACGTGAAAAAAACAAGTAAAAACACTTACAAATAATTGTGTTCATTTCTGCATCGCCTCTTGCAAAAAAATAGAACCGTGCTAAGAAACATAACTGGAAAATAAATCAAAACGTATCCGAAAAATAAAAAAAAACAATTGAAAAATATCACAGTATCTGTTCATTGTTGTTGCACTCGGGACTACATTTGCTGAAAATCACTTGACAGCCCAAGCATTTTAGCATTTTTATTTTTAATGTCTCATTTAGGTCTCAAATGGAGTGTTAAATCAGATATTCTGCTGCTTATATGTTGCTTGCACTACAGTAACTTATTTTTTCAAAAGAAACGCTTCAGGTTTGTTTTTGGTCACACATTGTTTTTATTTGTAATATCAATAATTTGAATGAAAGCAACCACACTGCAAAATATAGTATTGTATTTAAAAAGAACACGTTACCTTTTTCTGAGTAAGTCGTTCCTTTTTAAATTGTTCTTCAAGTTCCAACAAATCTGTTGCACATATGGATTCTGCGGGTTTATCACAATCTGTGAACCATATCTTTAGATCTGGTGTTGAAATGATGCAACTGCCCTCATCTTGTTTCATCGACACATTAAACCTCCCCTGTCTATTTGTCCCTTCAATATTTTACATAATCCTCTTAACAATACAAAGTCAAAATTCATCTTATTGGATTACGGCAGACTTATTTAAAAAGAAAGCCTTCGCAGAAGGTAGTATGTTATATGTTAAGATTTTTGAAAGATCATCCGGTATAATATAATCATCATTAATATCTTTAAAAGAATATTTATTCAAAGGCATACCATAAATAAGCTGGCCTAGATATTTGATCTTGGATTCAATATTAATGTACATGAAATCTGTAATTTGGCTCAAAAACACATAGGGCAAGATCTTAAAAAAAAATGATGACGGGGTTTTAAACTTTAATCTTAGTAGCGTATTTGAATAACCCCACAGCATTTTGTTAATACCTTTTGTATAAGATGAAATCTGGTTGATGAATTTTAATTAAAAGTTAAAAAAAAAAATTAAATGGAATGTCGCTAAGGTGTTTGTTTGTTGCCAGTATTTTTTAAAAATGTTTTCTAGCATTTTTTAAGGAAAGGTTTATTTGAAAAATGCTTTGGGAAACATCATTTTAATAAAAGAGATCACTTTTGCAGCCAACACATCTCACATTGAGTTTTCACCATTTAAGAGGCCACATAATCTTTAAGGTTCGTCTAGTAAAAGGGATGAAGCCAATTTTTATAGCATGATAATGCTTATATCATTTTGAACCATGAGCCAAATAGTTTATGATTTAACATATTTTCTTAGATATCATATAATGCCTTCGTTTTACAAAATCCAAATGTCGACTTTATCAAAATGTTTCAAAGGTCATATATAATTTTATTTGGAAGAAAAGAGATAGGATTAAAAGATATACTCTTATTGGTAATGTTGAGAACGGTGGAATCGGAATAATTGATGTTGAAAGCAAATTTCATGCCGCAAAGGCGTCGTGCATTAGCAGAATAGTTAATACAGAAAGTGTTACACACTGGGTTCTCAAAGGTATTTTGCAACAACACAATATTACAGTATTTGATATTATCAAAACTACGGAGTGTAACTTTGAATCCGAGTTTTTCAAAATGTTAAATCTGCCGAAATTTTACGGCAATGTATTCGCAGAATTTAACAGATGTAAAATGCAAAGAAATGTTAATAATTTAAATAGAGACCAGTTCTTAAATGAATTTTTATGGAATAATACTTGTTTTCATTTTAATTTAAAACCCATGTGTTTCAAAGAGTGAATAAAAAGCAAAGTTTTATATATTAAAGATATATTTGACGAATCAGGTGAAAAGTATGATATTAGTTATTTCTATAACAAATTGAATAGAAAGAATAATATATTATGTGAATATTTTATGCGTAAAAAAGCTGTTAGAGATTATAAACAAAATTTTGACTGTTATGCGAAATATGTGAATGTAAAACCAAATGTACATTTTTTATTTAAACATAATGTTGTAAAATCAATACAAGAGATAAGAAGCAATTTTTATTACGCAATTTTTATTGATATGAAATTTCAGAAACCTTTGTTGGAAAAGAAATGGACAAACACATTTAATGTTCAGGGTGTTTGTTTATGGAAAAATATTTATAGAAACAAGATCTTAAATGTACGAGGGTTGTCCCGTAAAATCATCCACAAGTTGTCTTGCATGAATAATAATTATCACTGCGTTCTGAAATTTTCACTTCTTCTTAGCACATATTTTCTGAATAAATATAGCTAATTTCAAATAGATATATGCATAAAGAAAGGAATTATGAGATTAAATATTATGTATTGTATCGCCTTACGGCGCACGGATGATAACGTCAAAGTGCCTAAAACAGCGTCTGGTACCTCGTTTCATTTTTGCACTAAAACTAAAGTTGAATAAGTCCCACTTAAATTTCGAAATTTCATTGAAACACATACTTAAGTCTCCATAATCAACTGAGGAACCAATCTGGCATAAATGTACGATCTTCTGATTATTTATTAGTAAGATACGGACAATATTCCAACATCATTCAAGTAATAGACAATCTTATATTGACGCGGTCAATATTGACAACGTCTTTAGACATTACAGTTGTAAATTTGTCTGCATGTCTTGTACTACCTCGGGACTCGATCAAGAAAGACTTTGCTCAAAAAACTCCCGTCTTATTCATATACTAAAGATTTTGCATTTTTGAAGGGGGATTTTTTTCTCTTCCAATTCATTTAAAATTTTATAAGGCGTTAATACACCATCTAAATCATAGCAAACTGATCTCTGGTGTGCCGTAACGTTACCAAACGTCACCATTTTTCGTGTGTTGTGTTTACCATTTTCCAATTTCAAATGTTCAGGAAACTGTCAAAAATTGACCAAATGCATTGAAAATTTTATGAAGACAACAAAATAAGCTGTGGAATTGCATAAGGATAATTTTTACCCTAAATCTTAAATATTTAAATCTTTTGTTTCTAATCAATACTCCTGTATTCTCTTATAAAACCTTCGTTTTTTGACCGTGCGCCGTAGGGCCTTACCCTATACACATTCAAGAATTATAAAATCTATATTTTTGTGTATATTTTATCCTAAACATTATAATTAACTTTAATATGATAGATAAGCATTCACTGAAAATTTCAGCTTATTACGTCCATTATTTTTCGAGAAAAATGCTTTGTCCAAGATTTTACGGGACAACCCTCGTATATGAGAAGAGAATATCAGAATTTAATTATGAATTATTACATAGTATTTTGAATAACAATGTCGCTGTAAGCAAATGGAACAAAGATATTTTTCCTTTATGTGAAAATTGTAAAATTGAAGATGATATGAAACATTCATTGTTTGATTGTAAAATTATTAAACCTATATGCGAAAAAGTGGGTATTTTTCTAAAATATGACATTACTTGGAAATTAATTTTACTGGAAAAATTTGCTTTTTAATAATTTGATAGCATTTATTAGCTTTAAGATGTATAAATATAAGTTAGATGAAATGAAGACTACAAAATGAAATATTCTCAGAGAAAAATCTTCTACTTAGACTGAAATCTATGCTTCATATTCAAAATGATGTCCTTAGAAAACCTGGTTTGATTAGAAGTAATATTTATCATGATTTAGCTGATTTTTTGTGTTAATATTGATATTGTGATATATTTGTAACCTGTTATGATTTTAATAAAAGATAAAAAAAAAACATATTTTTTTTACCTATTATCGCGAGGAAATGTCCCGATCCAGAGATTGTCATTTCAATTCTACAATGCTGAACATTTCTGAAGGAAAAATAATCATACACTTGTTTAAATTGTATTTGATGACAACTTAATGGTGATTGCTTTACTTTTATGGATAGACCAATAGCTATATTTTTTGTATATTTTAGAAAACTCATATTGACTTTAGTATCTATTTTTTGTGACTTTGTAACACTGTAAAATGTTGACGCAATATGTGTGCTATTGAATTATTCATTGAAAGTAAACAATTAATAAATACGATGAACAATGAACATGGACCTGCAGTAAACATCATTATCGTAATATATATCCTGATACTGTAGATTATTGCATGATGGTGAGGGAAATATGAAGTCTTATTCAGCCAAGAAAAGTCAAGTATAACAATCAAAATATGATATTTCTTGGCTGAATAAGTGAAACTTAGGGGAATATTATTTTTCTTGGCTGAATAAGTCTTCATGTTTCTCCAACATTCATGCAATGAATCGTTTATTATATCGGAACAAGCAAAGCCTTCAAAATAAGCATAAACTTTCTAATTCGGCACAGTTCTCAAATTCACTTTCTTTTTTAAACGTAAAAATACTAAAACCCTTTGGCACAATGCACTAAGTATCCGAAGAAGTGAATATGATGAAAAGCATGCCGACGGCCGTGAAATATGAAGTTTTACGGCCCCATCACGTGAAAACCTAGAACCAGTTAGATAATGCGTTGTGTGGAATATTCATAATATGGTATGATAATATTTAATATTCGCAAGTGCTTTCCATCGCGAAATGACTCTCCTACGTCAAATCGCAAAAACAATGATTTGCAACTGATTTATTTTTATTCACATTGGTTTTCGTATCATAAAAATAAAACCGAGTAATTTGCTTCGTGAGTGTTTCTTCTCGTTAAATTTTGCAATAATGAATAATTTTCATATATTTAGAAATATACAGGATTAATTATCAAATTCTTCCTGGTAGAATATGATAGCACTGACGTCGCTATCAACGAAGTCCACCTATAAAGATACATCTCATATAAAGTTTATTTTTCCGCAACCATTACCGTCAACGTCTTATGCAAAAGAGTACCTGGCACGATTTAAACAACAAAAAACCCGAACAATATCCTTTTTTCCATACCATGCAAACCACCAATTAAAATAAATCTTAAAAGATAAATCAAAACAATCTGAAAAGATTTTTTTGAAAATCCAGGATTTACCTTTATTTTAGTTCATACTTTAGACGCTTACAAAACTGTCCATATTACTCTATTTTACCTTAGATTGTCTACGGATATTTTTGTTATTTCTTAATCAAGATGTAGTGATTGATTGTATGTTATTTAACGACGTTCGATCCTGATATTTAAAGTCTTAAACTTTTTTTAACAAGTATATTTTTAGTTTCTATATACATAGCATAATTTAAATTCAGATTTAAAAATGGGGTAAATATGCTTCTTTTGGTGCTACAGCATACTTAAAATGACCTTTTTGCACTGAAATTTGTGTCTTGATTAAAAATTACATTTTCGACGTTTTCCCTCCAATATTTTTATCCAATTAAAGCATGAAACAAAATGAACTCTTAGTCTGCTTGAAAAAGAGACACTTTAAAATTGTGATTAAGAAAAATATGCAAATTGCTACGCATAATCAATTATTTGACCTTTCTGCACTATTAAAATGTGATTTTTCTGGCATTGAAAATTTGATAAGCTAGAAAATTATTTTAAAGTCTAAAACTTTTTTTCTGATTTTAAGCAAATAGGTCAAAGTTATCTTGAATATTTAGAAAAGAACTTCAAAAGTGGGGGTATATGATGTAAATTTTCAGATATTACTAAAAAGTGTCAATTTTACGTTAAAGTTGGCTCAATTTTTTCCCAGATTTTCAGAATATATTTACTATATTTGTCCCACGTTGTTGATAGAATTCATAAGAAATGATTTAATAGATATTTCAGAGCCAGCATAACACATTTCACTGCAAAAACAGCTTTCTGTGTTACAAGCA